TCCGTGATGTACAGTTGCTAGGCAATGAGCAAGGAAGTAGAAAGGAATTTATAGTTATAAATTGTGATAAGTCTGATCAAGGAACAGCACAGGGTGCTATAAAAGACACTAGAAGTGGGGTGCCTGAGTAGCTTAGTCGGTTAGGCATCTGACTCTTTTTTTTTTTAATGTTTATTTTTGAGAGAGAGAGAGAGAGAGTCAGAGTGCAAGTGGGAGAGGGGAGAGAGGGAGACACAGAATCTGAAGCAGGCTCCAGGCTCTGAGCTGTCAGCACAGACCCCGATGCAGGGCTTGGACTCATGAACAGCGAGATCACGACCTGAGCCGAAGTCGGATGCTTAACCAACTGGACCACCCAGGTGCCCCTGTGTCCGACTCTTGATTTCAGCTCAGGTCATGATCTCACGGTTCATGAGTTCGAGCCACACATCAGGGTCTGTGTTGACAATGCAGAGCCTGCTTAGGATTCTCTCTTTCCCTCTTTCTCTACCCCCACTCCAATTGCTCTCTAAGAAACTTAAAAAAAAAAAAAAAGACACTAGCAGAGGGTACCTGATTTTGATTGTGGGAAGAATCAGGGATGACCTCTTGGAGGAAGCAGTCTTTTTTTTTTTTTCTTCACATTTATTCAATTTTGAGACACAGAGAGAGACCGAGAGCACAAGCTAGGGAGGGGCAGAGAGAGAGGGAGACATAGGATCTGAAACAGGCTCCAGGCCCTGAGCTGTCAGCACAGAGCCTGATGCGGGGCTCAAACTCACAAACCGCAAGGTCATGACCTGAGCCGAAGTGGGATGCTTAACTGACTGAGCCACCCAGGCGCCCCACTGGAGGAAACAGTCTTTAAGGTAAACCTAAAGGCAGATCAGAGTTCGTCCCGTGTGGGCTGCAGGCACAGCACGTGCAAGGTGCCGAGAGGTGGTAAAAGCTGGCGCATCTAGGAGCTGAACATGTGTGTCTGGAGCATCGTAAGTAGGGAGTGATTGGGTGAGAAATGTCTGGGAAGGTGGGCAGTTGGCTGAATCACATGAGGCCTTGAAAGACTTGGTAAGGATTTGGTATTTTATCCTGAGGGATTGGATGCCACTGACGGATGTTAAGCAGAGAAGTGATGTGAAGGAAATCACTGGCTACCGTGTGGGGAATGGAGGGGACAAGACTAGAGGTGGGAAGGTGAGCTGCGGTGGTTCAGATGGGAAATGGTGCCTTGGGCCAGGGTGAGGGGCAGAGATGGACAGAAGTGGTGAGATGCTAGAGGGATTTCGAGGCAGACCCTACACGGTAGGAAGATGGATTAGATATGAAGGGCGGAGCAGGGGCGTCCAGTGGGCTTCAGTCACCCGGCCAGGAAAGGTGTAACCATAGAGGTGGTCCTGAAGGGCGATCCACCAAGTAGCAGAGTAGAGGGCAGGTGGGGAGAGACTGGGGAGCTGAGCCCTGAGCTGGGCCTGAAAGGAAAGGCAGCAGGAGGATGGAAGGGAGAACATTCCAGGAGGGGAAGCTGCAGAATCCAGGAGAAGAGCTGGGAATGAGCTTGCCTCATGCCAGGTAGGCGGCACCGGGCGGCACCGAGTCAGTGAGCCCTGCCAGGAGAGAAGGGTGGGCACGGGGCCACAGGGCATGTGACAGGAGCAGGGAAGCAGCAGGGGTGGGGCCCGATTTCGCCAGGCCTCTGGAGCCAGGAGGTATCAGCCTTGATGTCAGAGATAACGAGAGCTGTGTGGGCTCCTAGGCCAGCAGCCAGCCAGCTGGCCAGGCAGCGGCCCATTTCTCAATGCTCCAGGTCTATGCCAGACAAGACATGAATACATGGCACAAAATTTTGCTTTTTACTGATAACCTACCCTGATGATAGCGTGGGACATTTATAGAGAAAGTCTCTGGGCTCCCAGGACACCACCTCCTCCTTGGCTTCTTCCAGTCTCACTGGCTGCCTGTTCTGTCTGCCCCCCCTTGCCAGCTCTTCTGCCTCCACCAGGCATCCCGAAAGTGGGAAGCAGAGCTCACAAACTCACGCCTCTTCTCTTCCGTCTCTTCATCCCATCCTTTGGAGATCTCATCCAGCTCTGTGGCTTTAAAAATCATCTATACTCTGCTTTATGTATTAAACGGACTTTCTTCCTACCCTATCTCCTGAGTACCTGAGGCTGCCCACCTGACATCTCTACTTGGGTAAATAACAGGCATCTCAAATTTATTTACGTATTTATTTTTTTAATGTTTATTCATTTTTTGAGAGACAGAGCACAAGCAGGAGGGGGCAGCGGAGGGGCAGAGAGAGGGAGACACAGAACCCAAAGCAGGCTCCAGGCCCTGAGCTCTCAGCACAGAGCCCGATGCGGACCTCGAACTCATGAATTGCAAGATCGTGACCTGAGCTTAATCTGGTCGCTTAACCTACTGAGCCACCCAGGTGCCCCAGGCATCTCAAATTTAAAACTTCCAAGGGCTTCCTGGGTATATCAGTCAGTTAAGCGTCCAACTCTTGATCTCTGCTTGGGTCATGATCTCGCAGTTCATGAGATCGAGCCCCGCATCAGGCTCTGTACTGACAGTGCTGAAATCTCTCTGCTTGGGATTCTCTCTCCCTCTCTCCCTCTCTCTGCCCTTCCCCTGTTCACTCTCTGTCTCAAAATAAATAAATAAACATAAAAAAAAACAAATAGTCCGAGACAGAAACCTCCAGTCCCCTCCACCTCAACCTGTTTCGCACTTTTGTGAGTACGTGTACCTCCCACTTGTTAAGGCAAAAACCTAGGAGACATCACTGATGTCTTATTTAGCATCCAATCTATCAATAAGTCCTGTAAGTTCTGCCTCCTGAAAAATCCAGAATCTGTCCACTTCTGCTGTCCACCGCCACCAATCAATCCTCCACCATTTTCTCCTGGACTGCAGCTAAAACCTCCTCACTTGTCTCCCTGGGTCCCCTCTTGTCTGCCAGGCAGCCCATTCTCCACAGACCAGCCAAAGTGATCCGTGTAAAACACAAATCAAACAAAGTCGAACTTCAGATTAAAACCTTTCAGTGGCTTCCCACTGCTTCAGAATGACATGAGAGCCACCTCCGTAGCATCTGGGCCAGCCTAAGACTCTGACCTCATCTTCTACCACCAACTTCTCCCTCTCTTTCCCTGCTCTCCGCTGCCCCAGACACACTGGTTTTCTCTCTGTTTCCAGAACAGATCAACCTTGTGCCCATCTCAACAGGGCCTTTGCCCTTAGAATTTGCTCTCTCTGGAACATTTTCCCACCATTCTTCTCACTGTTCGGGTCTCAGTTCAAATGTTACCATCCTACTGAGGTCCTCTCCTTGCTGCCAGTCCCTCATTATCACATATTTTGTTCTGCTATCTGTGACATGGAAATAGTCATCTATTTACTTATTGTCTATCTCCCCCATTAGAATGTAAGTTTCAGGAGCGTTGGATCTTGTCTGACCTGCTCAGTGCTCTGTCTCCCACTCTTAGAACAACACTGGGAACACAGTAGGAGCTCAATAAATACTGGTTCAACCAATGAATAAGTGCTCCAGATGTGGTTCCTGGTCTTCTCGAGATGAGAGAGGCGTAACAAGCCACAGGAAGAGTTACCTAAGAATCCAGTGCAGGAAGTGGTGACTCTGAAAACTGATTCAAAGCTAGTCTGATAAATTGATTTTTGCTGAAGTATTGCTGGATGACAATGTGCTACCTAGTAATGCTGGCCTCTAATGGGAATCTAGAAAGACAAAGGTCTAATCCATATGGTGGTCCTAGAGGGAAACACTTCAAGGACTAGAACAGGGGGCAGATGAGGAGCTATTTGAAAACTGATGGGTGCTCCCCAAGGACTGAAGGGTTACAGGAATGGTGGGAAGAGTGTGGGGCAGGGAGGTTGAGGGAAGCACTAGGGTGGGAGCCTTGACCACTCTTCACTTGTGACTCTGAGAGGAGTCACTGGCAGGGGTCCTGGTGATTGTATGGGGCAGTCAGCCTTGTCAAGAGGTAGAGTGGTATGCTTGGGAGGACTGGGAGGATTGGTCATCCCCCCAGCAGCCCTCAGTCGCCTTGTGTGGTGGAAGCTGGTTGACAACCACAGCTATGATGTGGGGCCTATCGGGGCCAGGCAAGTGAACCCAGAGTCAAGGCCCACCAAGCTGGGGCCAGAAAGAGGGTGAGGTAGAGACAGAAAGGCCTATAGGAGGCAAAGAGACCAGTGCTCCTTATGAGCGAGGTGCAGGCCCACAGGAGGAAGAGGCTTATGGCTGCAGAAGTCAGCCTGGCACCATTGCCGAGAATGTAGCTGCCAGAAGGATACAGGAACCTTGACTCCTCTCCAGTCACTGAGCCTCTGTAGGAAGCTCACACACTCACCCAGAGTAGAAGCTGGTGGGCAGATCTGGATCCACTGAGAATTACCTACAGACACTGTTCAATTTTTGTAGCCCACTAAATTAAATACCAACGGGACTTACTTATTCAAGGTTTTCTCTTCACTAGCCGATAGGTGGGGCTCCTCAGGAAGGCCAAATCTACACATTCTCCCCAACATTTATGACCCTGCTCTGCCACGGTGCTAATTGTGCGGTTTGAGCACCTACTCTGTGTCAGAGACCCTGCTAGGTCCTTGTCCACTCTCCTCGGGATCGTATTAATAGAAATATCTTCCAGCTCAGGTCTCCCTTGGACTGACGAGGTGTGTGACCTCAATCCCGCTGAGCCTCGGTCGCATCAACAAACAGAAATGCTAATCCCTCCCCAGCAGAGCGTCAGGCACTTGGAATGGAATGCACTCCGTACACAGGTGTAGTTGTTTTAGTTAACAGCTCTGGGGTCAAGGAGGCAGGTGAGGACAGGTGAGGGGGGGTGGGGGTGAAGGGATTCCTCTGGGAAAGAAGGAAATCAACAAAAATACAGCTTCTTAACTCTATGGTGATGCAGGTGATCTTATTCGGAGCCAGCAAAGTCGGGGTAAAATTTAAGGAGCTAGGAACCTTCTAGCCAGGAACGCAGACATACCTGAGAGCCCCCAAGGGCCGTGGGAAGCAGAGGTGGGAGACTGGGAGTTTCCAGGTCCTGTGTGTGCTCAAACTCACTGACATTTCTTTCCGACCTGCTCTCTTCAGCCCCCTGTAGCTCCTGTGGGGCAAACACATCAGTTCCCGGGCCAGGACAGCCTTCCGAGCTCTGGAGAGTCATTAAGGCAGCGTCCCCTTCACTGGGGCTCAGCACAGGCTGTGTGGAGGTGGGGCTAGTCCTTCACGGCGAGGTGTCTGAACATCCTCAGGAAATTTGAAGGGAGTTTTGCAAGAACGTGGAAGCAATGCCATTGGATTCCTCCCGAAGATAAATAAGCCTGATGAATTATTAAGGAGGTGAAAGAAGTCAGGGCTTAGCTAAAAGAATCCCACATTTCTGTGAATATTTCAACCACTCCGGACCTATTTTGGCGAAGAGACTGTTCTTGTGCTGTGTGAAAAGCCTGGAGGGAGCTAGAATTACGCTCACCTAGGGTGGCTCTTGGTTAAGGGAGGCCTGCCTTTCTGAGCTCGGATCCAGGCTCAGAGATAGCTTCTCACAGCTCAGCAGCTATTTTTAACGTTGTGAAACTCAATATGTCAGTGGGGAGGGCAGGAGGAGGCAGGGCTGGAGGCGAAGTGGCTGAGGCTGTCTGGCCCCTGATGGAGGCGAAGTCACTCTCTGGCTCTTGGCTGACACCCCTGCATCTCTTTATTGAGCTGAAAATAGATACCTGGCCTGGTGTTCAGGGCTGACGGAGGGGGGTACAGCCCAGAAGAGAATTTAATAATTTAATCTGTCTCTCGTTTGAGCTCTTTCTTTGATTTAATACAGATGCTGTGTCTGGCAGCTGAAAGAGAATGCATCATAGCTCCGTGGTGAAAATAAAAATACTAAACTAAAAACAAAACCCAAACCCTTGGTATGTTCTGTTTACAAGTGCTTTAAAACGTACATTCAGGGGCTCATTTGGTTAAGTGTCTGACTTCGGCTCAGGTCATGAGTTTGAGCCCTGCATCAGGCTCTGTGCTGACAGCTCAGAGCTTGGAGCCTGCTTCGGGCTGTGTCTCCTCTCTCTCTGCCCCTCCCCCGCTCACACTCTCTCTCTTTCTCTCAAAAATAAACATTAAAGAAAAGAAAAAAAAAAAAAAAGGAAAGAAACCCAGCAGCAGCCAGACCACAGTCCAACTGACTAGAGTCCTGTGTAAAGTGTCACTTTTCTGTCTGTGCTGAAGGGTAGCACAATTTGCACCCACCTCTCCCCACCCCAAATCTGCCACATGGCATGAGGATTATTTCAAGCTGAAAGGCAAGTGAGGAGAAGCAGATACAGGAAAAGCTCTCTGCCCTCCCCTTATTTGCCTAAAAGCAGGACATACATTTACAAAGGTGTCCTTCCTCCCCTGTCCACCAGGGAGGATGGAAGTTAATCAGGGAAGGCAACACCAGATCCTCAGCAGCACATTGTACACCTTTTAATAATAACCTTGAGGGGCGCCTGGGTGGCTCAGTGGGTTAAGCATCTGACTTCAGCTCAGGTCATGATCTCGTGGTCTGTGGGTTCGAGCCCCGCGTGGGGCTCTGTGCTGACAGCTCAGAGCCTGGAGCCTGTTTCAGATTCTATGTCTCCCTCTTCCTCTGACCCTCCCCTGTTCGTGCTCTCTCTCTCCCTGTCTCAAAAATAAACGTTAAAAAAAATAACCTTGAACAACCTAAGTATATATAATTTTTATTTGTCAATCGTATCTCAATAAAACTGGCAAAAAAAAAAAAAAAAAAA